GTGATTCTATGATCTCTCTTAAATTCAGACCTAGTGACCCCTTAGGCCTCTCTTCTGAAGACAACCCATTGGAAACCACGTGGCTAATTGGATCCATGGAAAAGTCCACTGGTTTCCATTATTATTGTCAAAAATGCTTGCTTGATTACATTTTGCTTGATTACGAGGCTTTGAGCAACCTGGTCTAGTGGAAGGTGTCCCTGCCCATGGCAGGGGGGTTGGAACTAGATGATCTTTAAGGTCCCTTCCAACCCAAACCATCCTGTGATTCTGTGATTTTAAATCTGCTACTGCCAGATTTCATACGTATCTGGCTTTTGCTGTTACAGAAACGACATGTGATGGTCTTCACCTTTTCATTTCACATCCTGAAGTAGGCAGCAAAACTTCCTAATAACGAAAGGAATTGGAAAAACCATAAATTCAGTGCTCCAAGGCAAAAACATCTTAATGCTCTTACTTTCACTGATGTGTATCACCTCTAATAGGGAATTAGAGCTTTAAGTTTTTACCAAGGAGTGCACGCGGTCCTCGGCTGTAAGCAATCCCCCTGTGGAGGAGGAGCGCTCTCAGGGGGAGCGTACGATACGCATTTGAAAGGCCCCTTAATGGGCTGCAAGAGCTGACGTGCCCCATTCATACCAAGCTGGAGTCAGGTACGTACTCCACGGGATCTCATCCTATCACTACGAAAATGTCTGCTACTGCTTAACCACATCTTCCGTGCTCACGCATCACACCTGAACACACAGTCACATCGGGCACGTAGAACGTGTAACTGCAACTGCCTTCGTATGAAAATGGATTTAGTCATGGAATCACGGAACGGTTTGGGTTGGAAGAGACCTTAAAGACCACCCAGTTCCAACCCCCCTGCCATGGGCAGGGACACCTTCCACTAGACCAGGTTGCTCAAAGCCTCATCCAGCCTGGCTTTGAACACTTCCAGGGATGGGGCATCCACAGCTTCTCTGGGCAACCTGTTCCAGTGCTTCACCCTCTTCTCCCCAATCCTACCACGTCTCGAGTCGGATGTCTGCGTGACCACAGACCTGGATGATCAGACACGGTGTCCCCATGTGCAAAGCAGATGGACCCGCTCCATCAAAAACCGCAAGACCCCTCTGCCCTGGTTTAACTCCCATGGGGTTACAGCACAGGACTCCTTAACCGTTACAGGGTGCCACAGACAGTGCCAGGGGGACTCGGATAATCACTGCCTCAGAACGCCGCGGAGCACGTACTCAAGTGTCTTCACCTCCTACTGGAAATGCAACGATCTCGCCCCAACCCCAGAACGGAGCTGTCGCGAGTTAGGTAGGGATCCTTCGCGCTGCCTTCGAGAAATGGTGCTTTTCCCCGTTTCCGAGCAGTTTTGGTAATACCAGATTACCTGGCACAACCTGTACGAAGCGGTTTGACGGGAAAGCCCGTGGCTGCCCCAGGGAGGGCAATGCTGACGCACAGCTGCTGTTAGACTTGAAGCACCTCTCTGCTTTCCCAGTACAGGGCTGAAAGCTGCTCTCCTTTTTTCCTTCCGTCTTCCTGGCTACAGCGCACGAGGCGGGGGGGTGCAGTACGCCGGTGCAGCCTCCTTGCGCCTCACCAGACAGAGCTGCAGGGGATTCCAGCATCGACTCCCTCCCCGCTACAGAATAACCGTGGGGGGCATTTTACAGGCATTTTAGGGAGCGTTCGTATTTACGTTGTTAATCCCGAAAGCCATTAATTTCACAGCGAAGTTTCAAGCTGCGTCCGTGACATCAGACCTCCCGGATACTGCTTAAATTTCGAGTACTGGCTAATGTTTTCTAGCAGTTAAGATTATTCAGATCAAGGGATTTTTTGCCTTTTGGCTTTTCTGAATATACAGCAGAATTGACGCAACAGGAACCCTTTGTCCAAGCCAAACAAAAAGTGGACTGGGAACAGTCCAGAGCTGAGTGGTGTTCTCTGCCCTTTAGTTTTGTTTTTTGAAAGAAAGGCTGCTCTCATGACCACAAATTATTCAGTTACTTCAGAAGTAGTAAGGGCACAGAGAAACATCTGTTTCAACCTCCACAAACAGGGCAGCTGGGCAATAGAGACCAGTAATGCAAAGACACAACAAGAAGTACGTGTCACCCCTTCTTAAAAATCACAGAACCATACGGTTTGGGTTGGAAGGGACCTTGAAGACCATCTAGTTCCAACCCCCCTGCCATGGGCAGGGACACCTTGCACTAGACCAGGTTGCTCAAAGCCACATCCAGCCTGGCCTTGAACACTTCCAGGGACCTCTGCTGCATTCCTATTAGGTTTTGAGGTCAGTGGGGGTTTTTTGGCCAAGCTCTTAAAGCATCTCTAAAGATCAGTAGCGATCTTCTGAATGCGAAATGGACTAGACTAGCTCAATCAACAAAAACCCAATTATAAAACACCACCTCGGTAGCCCATCCTAGCAGGATAAACCAGCTTTTTTTCCTCTTTCATTCAGCAAGGAATTGCCTTAATCCATCCAAATTTAACTTTTAACACCTACAGAGATCAGTTATTACCCTTCCGAGGGAAATTATTTTCATATACACCACATACATCAGCACTTGATCCCCAGCCCCTGCTTAGGAGCCCAAAAATCAGGCACGGGTTGAAGAGCAATTCCAACAGCTTATAAACTAAAGGGAAACACGTAATTACCTGCCACAAATCTGGAATAATGCTGAGAGGTCCTGACCACAGATCACGTTTGCCACCAATAATGGGAAAGGAAAGCACTTTTTTTGTAACGCTGGGAAAACCACGGTATTAAACTGAGAAGAACTCTCACTAAATACAGCTTCACATCCAATCAGCTTTAAAAGGGCAGCCAGTCAAAGACACGTGGCATCACAGACAGGAGTTTGTGTGTACTACATGATAACCTTTTCATTAAGCCAAATTTAGCCCCCAATAATTGATCAGAACGATAACATCAGGAAGTTCAGCTTCATCTAAAATGTAAAAAACCTGTATCCCACCTCTTCTGGGATAGCTGCCTGGTGGCAAGCCACAGCCTACTGCGGAGTCGCAGGCTACTTGCAAACAAGTCTGGCTTTGAAGTTTTCTGCTTCACGTACTCCAACAGCTTTGCGGTTCGATGGCGACCAGTTCCAGCTGCTGATGACGGACGTTCAGATCTGCAACACCACGGTATTTATCCCAGAGACGAGGCGGTCAGCTGGTTCCAGAGGGAAAGCAGTGCTTTCTTTGGAGACAGGTTGAAAACACAGGCACATGGCTGAAGTAACCTGTCCTAACCACGTGTCCATGCCTTACTGGTTCCCTCTTCCTCACTGCGACAGCATTTGGCAACAGTGGAATTAGTGACAAAGTAGGAACTGCTAGAGAGGTATAAGGAGGATTGACTGCCTGGCACCACAGAAATCCTGCAGACCCAATACAATTCAGAAATTCCTGCTTTTTAAACAGTAAATCTCTACATAGATTGGTACACAAAAGATGATGCCGACATTACGAGCTGACCTTCTCTGCAGTGGCTCATTTTTTATCCTAAGGAAATTAATCTCCTAAACAACATATCCAAAATTCATTTCTCTTCAGATCTACGTAACATCAAAGGCCACTTACGAAGATGGGTATTTCCTCTCATTTTGGATGATGCAACATAATATAAATCCATTTCATTCATGTAAGATGACAAGATCTGGCTCTCTTCACTTAAAAACAGAGCTTCCGTGTAGTGGCTTTGAGCAGTAGCACTGGATGATTTCATGGGACCTTTTATTCTTAGAACACGTAAATCTCTGCGCTGCCATTTTCAGCAGTAACAGCTTGAGGCAGTCGAGGTCATTCTGAAAGCTCCTGATGTTACAAAGGCATCACTCGAGTGCAAAAGGGCTTTTCAAATCTTTGAAATCTGTTCTGTAGGTATTACCTTACTCAGCAAAGAATCACCAAACCACTCAGGAGCCCCGCTCCAATCCAAGTGTTTTCTCTGGCAAGTTCATCAGTGTATGTGATGGAAGCAGCGTGTATTTTAAGTCATTATTCATACTGTTCTACAGTCAAATGTTCATTCAGTCTGTACCACTACGGAAGCGATGAGGTGAGCTACTGTCTCTACAGATTCCTATTTCATCTCTAGAGGCCATTGAAAATTTTCCGTATCCGCATGATACTTATAACATCGTCGTTTCTCCAGGAAGTTCACCACACTAAGAGCACCACCGCGGCACTGTCGTTATTTTCAAGACTTCCAAGCTGTTGCACTGAAGGCGAGGCCTTGTGCCCCTACGTTTGCGATGACGGGCAGACGTCTGCAATTTGGGCCCGTCATCGGCAACAGTTCCGTTCTCAGCTCCGGCGCAGGGCAGCCGGACAGCAGCACTCTGACCACCACGGATGCATCATGCGCCGAGCAGCAGTCGAGGCCTTTAGTCTGCACAGCGTGTTACTTCTGTGACTCCTTTTGCCTTGGCTCACTGGACTTCCTGCTGTACTGCCCAGGAAGCACCACCGCAAACAGAAAGCGCCCTCAGTCTCACTTGATTCCCTCATTTGAAAAGGATGTTGCTCTTGCATTCGGCAGCGTTATGCTGTCTTTGAGAATGTGGAAAATTAGATACAATCTGTTCCTGCTTTCGCATGGAGAATGACCCAACACTGTTGTAAGTTTTTCTTCATTTCAGGTCTCATTTCTAAACTTACATTCCATGACCCTACTTAGGGAAGAAGGAAAAGGAAGTTTGTTACCAGAACTCTGTGACAACAGGTTTAATTCCACACTGGGCTGTAGCGATAAAACCCTGTACGCCCCTGCACGTCTGCGCAACACGCGCCCATGTACACGCTGGGCACTTGCCACCGTATTAACAACTTGTTCCTCCACAGGACCGACAGCTTCAGGCTGCAATCTCTGCCTGTTTCTTTTCCCGCCTGGTGACGACGACTCTTCCCTTCATACAGGCGCTGACGATCTTTCCACCCGAGCTGATTGGCGATGTGCCTGTTCTGCTTTTCAGGATATCCACGCAGCCAGGGTTAGCCACCACGTAGGCTCTCTCCCCCAGAGATCTCAGCATGGCCGGCCCGGTGATGACAACCCCGTAGTCCACTTCTTCAAGAACATTGTAAGTCTCCTCCCTTTTTCCTCTGCACTACAGTGAAGTCTTTTCTTTAGGGTCCACCAGCCGCCCAATACTCCCCAGTCACTGGCCGTTACTCTGAGCCTCGTGACTTGTCCTGCGCTTTTGAGCCCGTCCCACCACTCAAATACCAAAATAATTTTACCTGGAAACACAAACAATACTGAAATGCTACAAAAAAAGCAGGTGAACCCGCCGGTGGCACAGCCAAATTTCAACCACAACCCCTACGATTACACAGCTTCACCATTTACCGGTTTCATCCTCGTGCCTTCAGCACTCTTAGGCATGTCTTCTGTTTAAAAACAGACTGAAATCCGGTGCGCTCCAGGCAAAGCCTGGGAGAGCAGAGGAGCTTCTTGGTGCCGTTACGTAGACGGCACTTACGGGACATGCCAAGTGTGCTCCCAAACATGAAACAGCTTGTAATTTTGGATATAATTTGAAAGCACAAGCAAAACAGCCCAAGCGTGTTTCCTGACAATTTCATTTACGGTAACAGTAATTCGAGCTCTGAACTTAGCTGGTTTTACACCAATAAGGAGCTTTCCCAGAAGATATCCAGGAAAGATGGAATTTCCTCAGGTACTAAATTCTTGAGTGCTGTGTAAATACCTAATGAAACAGGGTACGTGGCACAGCAGCTACCCAGAGAGAGACTCTACATCCTGCCTTTGCAATACTTCTGATTTGATCTGTGCGGGTATTCCCCCAACTTTATTTTCCAGGTTTTCTTCTGAAACAAAAGTCTCAGTATTTTCATGCCCAAATGCTGAATAAAGAACTTCCAAAACACAAGGGTAGCCTAAACCAGAACCGAAGTAGCCCAGTCTCTCTTAACAGCTACCTTCACACCTCAAGTTCCCCAATGTTGGTATTTGAAAAGTGAAAGTAACATGCTCTCTGCTTGAAGTAGAACGTGGCCCTCACAGGATCTGAAGTGCGAGACCTACAGTAGGTTTAAAAACCACCGATCATGAGAACATTTTTATGATCGGAAAGTCACACATACTACGATTCATCTTTTAACAACGGGCGTTCTGAAATATTCACGTGGCAATAAAGAGAGGGATGAAATTAAACAAGAACCAACGCCTAAGGCCTACTAACTCCTAGAGAATACGCAAAAGGCTTAACGACTCCCAACGTTTATTGTAGGGAATTGTGTACTGCCTTGGCTTCACAACTTTTTTTTGTGTTGGTTTTTAGGTCTCCCCCCGTACGCCTCCCCCAATGCAAGCAAAGGTAAGCGTTTTCAGGGGCTTGTGCAATGCCCAAGACTTTTTGTGGGCTAATTTTTACCAACGTAACTGCTAGCCTCATCCGTTTCCTTTAACGGCACGAAGTAAACACCCGGGGTTATCACTGGTAACATTTACAGCACGGGATGGGAAAGCCACGGCTCTCTTCCTCGTGCACTTCCTGCCTTGCTGCACGACATGTAACGAAGTAAAGCCCCTCGCGGGGATCTTTACGCTCAATTTACATTGCGACTGCTTTATGTAATAAACTAATAACAGGCAATGCTTTCAAAGAGGCCTCACCAGCCAGGAACTGTCCTGACACGACGCAACTACACGGTACTGACCAACCACGGCTGGTGAAGTCAGTTCTTCTCACTACAACAAAGAACCTGCCTTTTCTGTTTCATGGAATGACACTTACTTGTTTTCAACTCCTGCCTCGCTCCCTGCCCAGTATTTTGTTATTTTTGCTGCCTTTTCATCTGCATACGGTGCACCCAGATGCTATGCTCCGTGGCGACCGGCGTATCACTGTTTCTCTTTCTTGCATGTACAGGGAAGAGGATTATCCCTGACCAGATTTAGCTGGGTAGGTGACGAACGCACTTTCGGTAACAGCCACTTTATTTCCCAGGCTGAAGCGTACCTTGCTCCGTTGCCTCAAGCTGCTGCAGCAACGTGCCAATTTGTTTGGTCTTGGTTTTGCTACTTTGCTTTTCCTGCTGCACTTTCCTCCCTCCTCCTGCAGCACTTTAAGACGGTAAACGTGTTGCTTGCTCCCATCCAGCAACCTGACAGCCTCGAAGCCGTAATTCCTTTTGCTTTAGCGCCAAGGGAGCAAAACCCACTGCATGGCAAAGCTCTCTTCCCTTAAAGACTGCTGTAAGACTCATCCTCTGCATTTTTCATTTCCTGGGAAGGACAAAAGTGGGAGGGAGGGCTGGGATGAGATGGGAGCTTATTCCACAGTTGCAATTGCTCTCATATGGTGAAGTCTGCAAAACTAACACTGTCGCTAATTCAAGTATTTTGTCCCACCTTTCCCTGCGATCCCTCTCTGTAAGAAGTGATCAGCCTGAACTGTTAGTAGACCAGTTCTTCTCACAACTAATTCAATTCTACTTCTCTACCACAGGTTTGACATTATATGAGATGGACATGCAAATTACTTGCCTTTTAAGACAAAAATACTAAGCCCTTCAAGCCAATAAAGCATTTCTTCGCTATCACAAATTAGTTGACACGTTTGACATCTTAGAACTCATGAAAATGAAACATTTTAAGTTGTGTCAAGCAGGTTAACCACCTGAGCATCCATTCTTTGAGTAGTTCCTCTTTTACAGAATGGCGTTTCCCTCAGATTTGAGTATATTCAGATAATTCCCTAACATTTTCCTCCATCCCTGTTCATTATGTAAAAGATTATTTTATTCCAACACCTCTAGATTTCTCAGCCGAGTATGACATTTCAGTGCTCGCAACCAAAGATGAGAACGTGTGTATGGTAATTGGAACATGGTAATTTGCCATACATGTGAAAATCTTTCTTTGCAGGGTGGTGAAGGACACAAGCCAGGATACGGAGGAAGTGGAAAATTCTATGAGCATAAATCTGCTCACAAGGGACATAAGGGATCCTATCACGAGGGCCAGGGCACTACTCTTTCCAAAATCTTTAAACTGGTAAAGTACAATTGAACTTACTCTAAGTAGAAAAAAATTGAGACCAGGAAAAAGAGAAGTCAAACCACTCCTGAACCCACCATGTTTGAAACAACCACATTTCCTTAAGGCTTCTGAAGGAACTAGATTTGCATGGATAAAACAGGTTATCTCGTGGCCTAGTAGCTGCTTACATGGTGGGAAACAAAGGTAAAAACACAGAGTCAGTTACCACCAGGAACAAAGGTAAGTTCCAAAGCTCCACAAAGACCCGCAACCAGGATCTGTGTTGGTGCTGAGCTCACAAATGACCTGGAACACAGGAGGTGAATGAGGTGACACAGATTATTTGCACGGATAAAACAGGTTATCTCGTGGCCTAGTAGCTGCTTACATGGTGGGAAACAAAGGTAAAAACACAGAGTCAGTTACCACCAGGAACAAAGGTAAGTTCCAAAGCTCCACAAAGACCCGCAACCAGGATCTGTGTTGGTGCTGAGCTCACAAATGACCTGGAACACAGGAGGTGAATGAGGTGACACAGATTGCTGCTGCTGAATTATTTACAACAGCAAAAGCAAGCTGTCAAGCTGCAGAGCGGTAGTACAGGGCAGTGTTGGACACGTAGTTGGTTGAGATGCAGTAACAGCATGAACAGTCCCAGTGAAACAAAGCCAATTACCTAATGGATTACACTAAATTTTCTTTGAAGTAGTTCAGTAAAACTAAGGAGGGAGCACTGAAAGATGAAAAGATGAATATAGAGAAAGAAAACAAACCCTCAAAGTACACACATGCTTAATATTTTTGAAGTAAACAGTTCCGTCATCGACTGCCTGCAGTAACAGTGAGAACATCTGCGACCCTATCGATCAACATTTGCCTAGAAAGTTGGTAAAGCTACGGGAAAAGATACTCAGCCTAATCTCTAGTTCCAAAAACAAAACACCAAAATTTCAGCTTGGATCATCCGTGCTATAAAACTGCTGTAAGGCTCTTCTCAAATGCAGATTTATCATAGGTCACAAGTTCAGGGTTTTTTCCTATTTTGACATTTTTCTTACTATTTTAAAAAAAGGCCAGGTTTCAGCCCTTTATCTTTTCTTAGTATTTCCCTGAATGTGCAGCTGAGCTAACTGATGTTGATATAATCACATTATCAAGTTACCTTAATAAACACTGCAGAATAAAATTATTACATGTCAATTCTTTCAGCTGTGAGACTAGTACAACTTGTACGCAGGGTCTGGAGTCTTTGGTTTTGATGTTGGGTTTGGGTGTTTTTTTGGAGGGTAGGGTGAGTGTTTTGATTTGTTTTACTTTTGGGGTAGTTTGGTTTTTCTGAAGTATACTTACAGTTCCAGGATAGCCATAAAAATGAGAATTTCCAAAATGTACAAGTAAGTTGCTGTCATTGGGAAGGCCAGAGTAAAAACACACACCTATGAATAATTCATGAGAGACTGTCAGGTCCTGTGTGAGAGATTTAATGAGAGTAAATTAATCCTATGTGAAAATAGATCAAAAGCTATCCTCTCTTGATGTGGACATTCCTGTACTAGTCAGCACTATACCAGAGGCCACCATAAGCCACTGTCATTAGACAATATTTATGTTTTTTCATACTAGAGATGGATGTTTTTCAATGTATATCCCCAAATACACAGTACCTTTTAATTAACTTAACCCCATTCTTCCCTCCACAGGGAGGCTCTGGGTCCCGACCTGGGTCACGTTCTGGTTCACCAGTTGCTAGGCGCTGAAGCTCCGCGATGCCATCCGAGGATCATGTACTCCGCTTCATAACGTAACGGCCTTAAAATTAATAACAGCTACAACAATTACCTAGATAGATGCAATCCATTACTTAATGCAAATTAGGTTCCGCATGCAGTAGATGATACAAACTTCTATTGGCAATCCCTGAGCAACAGTTGAATGAAAGGAACGTAAAAAGTAGCCTTACTAGATGTTTTCCTTATTTTACGTGAAGTAACAAGATCTCTGACTTGACTCGTTCTTCTTCAGGATGCCCTAACTGTATGCTGGACTTCATTATTTCTCCCAAGCATCTAATGTGAGCTCAAGTCTTCCGGTTTCGTTTTAGTGAACATCAGAGTTACAAATAAAGAGCTAATGTCTTGCATACTGAGCGCTGCTGTTGATGAATCTCTGAGACACTGCTGTTAAAAAACCCAAAATCTACCATGTGCAGAAGTTGTAAGGACTGTTTATCCAAATTTTTTTTTAATTAGGTTTTTTTTGGTTGATGTTTCGTTTTAATCTTCCTTCTCTCACTCACAGCATACTTTATTTTTATAACAGGATTAGGCAGTCATGGAAAGGCTTACCAAACATTGGGAGTTCAAGGTATGTGAAGCGTGGGAGGGGGCAGATGTTGTAGAATCAACACGATGCAGAGCAATAGTAAGAAGGAAATTTTTTCCGTACCATGAATTGCTCGTCGCATCCAAACCATTAGAATTAAGAGCAGATGAGGGAGAGAAAGAGGATTTAAAATTAGAGTTAGACTAATGTTAAGAAACAAGGGGTATCCCCAGAGAAGAAACATCTAAGATCGCGCAAGTGACCGCTGGATGTCACGGGCGCTCCACACAAACTGTGCTGCAACAGCATGAACTCTGCAGTACAAGTAAGTAAACACGTAAGCAAAACAAGTAAGTCTAATTTCGCAAAAGAGAGCCCTTCAGTACTGGTATCTAAGGTAGTCCTGCACATCTCACATTAGAATTCCAAATCTTTCCCTTGCTATTCCAGCAGTGCTACATGCGGTCAGCTCACCTTTTGCCCGAGCAGCATTTGGAGGGACGCCTATTAAAGGCGTCACACCAAAGCAAACGCGTAGTAAACTACTGTGAACGTTTAACTGCGGTACTCTAGTTGCCTTATAGAAATAAAATATAGCTGAGTTAGGTTTAGGTATTAATTGTTCTCAAATTACTAAAACGAACGTGTGGCAATGGTATTTCCAACCACACATAGGGAAATAAAAGGCTCTTCTGAATTGCACTGGTTTATTACTTAAACTTACCATTTCTTCAAGCCGTCACCTAAGCGTCTGATTAATTATTATTTCTTTTTTATTTTTTTAGTTTTAGCCTGTGTATCGTAGACTACAGTTAATGCTTCCCAGGCTGAAACTGTATTCCTAATAAGTGCCCAGTAAATGTTACCTATAAATATGTACGTTAATTGCGTTTCACATCTAAATCTATTGTAGGTTTAAATCGGTGACCATTAATATGAAGCAATGAAAGATGAGAGGATAGAAAATACATAGAGACTAAAGGAAACAAAACCACCAAAATTATTAAGCATACACACAGGTGTTACACCTTCTGTTACCTACATTGGTTGCTATGTGTATTTTTCTATTGTAGCTTCATTCGGATGTATCCTCTGCAACGTAATAGATGATTTAATTTGAAAACGTATTGTTCTTATAGGAACACAGCTTTTAAAAATATACATTATTGAAATAAAGTACTCGAAATGAAACCTGGACCACTCTTGTCTTTTATGAAGAGAGCAGATTGTACATATGAAGTTCCATGGGGTTTTTTCACACTTTCTAAATAACGTTCCGACACCAAACACAACACTTTGGGACCTGGGACCCAGCTGCCCACGCACGGGCTTCTAGTGATATTGCTGGTGACCTGGCGTGGCTCACAGGGCTGAGAATGACACAGGAGTGACGGGAGACCAGTGTCTCTCAGGCAGCAGCTAAAGGCCAAGGGGGCATTGCAAAGCATAGGATGCCTACGCAGAGGTAGTAAAATCTCGCCCTTCGTAATCAAGCATAGCACAAAGTGCCTTCTTTTAACAGGGATGGGACAACCAAGCTGGCTTTTAAAGCAGCCTTCAAAAATGGGAGAGACTAAGGATAAAATAAAATTGAGGAATACATCTTTCAAAACACTGGGCTGTAGAACTAGAGAACTTATCCAAATCTTCTTCCTTGCCTTCAACACTCTGCTTTCCCATCACTCCCCTTTTCCAGAGGCTGGAAGTGGCTTTTTTAGATTTATTTCCTATAGAAGAAAACATACAGTAAAACATCATTTTATCAACACATGTCTCTCAAAAGAGATTAAAACTTAGACTGAAATTTATTCTTTTAACTACTCACTAATAGTTTTGCTGAAACCCAGCAGTTTAAATGGCTATTTGCCTTGTAAGCACAGGATCTTTCCTGAAATAAGAATGGACAGCCAGTACTAGGAGCGTGTCCTTTCTTGTGCTGAAGAAATGGACATAAACTAGAAGAAATACTTGAACAGGCACAAACCAAAAGGCCTGAGGCTAGCGTAAGCCTACTGCTGCATCAAGCCAAAAGGAACAGAGGCGTTCCTAAGCACTATTCACTTGTCCACTATGCAATCAAAGAGGCCTTAGGAACAAGCATTCTTTCTGCTTCCTAAAAAAAAAAAAAAAGAATCTATTTCAATATTGCTTTTGAAGGTATCAACATACCGGTTTCAGTGTCCGCATTTATACTGAGCATCCACGGATAACACGGCTCTGAAAGCCCCTGACTCGGTCTCACCAGGGCACCTAGGCTATGACAGCCTCTGTGTCAGGTTACTCAGGAGTGAAGTTTGTGGGGGAGGAGGATGCAGGGAAGCAAAATGAATACTGTGTCACAAAGTTTTTTAAAAGCCTATTGACTGTGACAGAGAGTGCTACAGGCCCGATGTTCTTATTCTTTGTGTTACAAAAGGTAACAGCAGTACTCCAAGTGCTGGAGCAATTCAGCAAACCGAATTCAGGAAGAATGTCAGGTGGCTCCATTCCTTACTTAACGCTTCCAAGACTTACACACCCCCTGCCTCTAATCAAGACCTAACTCTCTGCCAAGCGAGCATCCGAAACGTTTTTACTCAGGACATCGCTGTCAGCGCCTACTCACAGAGTATCCCCCACCGGCAGTGCCTCAGTGCTGGCAAAGCAACTGCAGCTAGACCGGACGGAATGCTTTCAAGCATTCAGGAATCACCTTCCCATGATGAAGGATGGATGTGCAGCTGGATGTGATGGACTGTAAATCATCTCCTGTCAAACTGTATTTGGCAACCTCGGGGAAGCATCACCCCCGCCACCATGTGCAGCAAATCAACAAGCTTTGCTGTGCCTTTACACCGCGTTCTCTGAGAGACCAGGAGGAAGGGTTTACACGTGGTACGGGCAACACAGCACGCTCTACTGTACTGTTACAGAGAAACAGGGCGCCAGGCTGTGGGGCCACCATGCCTTCAGGTGACTGCAAAATAGAATGTCTTCCTCAAGCAGCTGAAACACGAACAGGCTGTCTGAAAGACACTGCTGAAAAAACTTCACATCTATCCCTTAAATATACTGAGGGATGCACTTCCATTAAAACGGAATTTTTAGGATTTCCTAGAATTCAGAAAGCAAATGTTTAAAAAATACAGGAAACAGAATTTGGAAAAAAGTAATATTATTTAACATGTTTTTTGAATTAAATATTCCACATAACAAAAGTGTTATTTTCATGTCACCAACTATATTACTTATATACATATGCCAAAGAGTTAACAAAAGGATTAAGAGATGCCCTATCAAAACCAACAGTGATTTCTTGCTTCAGCTATCTGAAATAACTAGTTTGTATCATAGACAAAGTATAGACAATATTTACAGAAAAGGGCATTTTTGGATCCGAGCACAATTATCTTTCAGAAGGAAATTCTGAAATCCAGCTCTGTATTATCGTACAACAAAATCCACCACTGATCTACAAGTACTTGCAGCAAACTGAAAAGATGAACTTCCTGCAACCGGGATTAGTATTTACAAAATATACTGATCAGCCACACAGAGGCTCATATAACTTTAAATATATATATATACACATACAAGAACACATATATATATCTATATATATGTAACATAAATAAAATTCAAAAGAACAAGGTGAAAAGAAGAGCTTCTGTCATTGGAATGTCTATAAAGATGACTATGTTTTTACTCCAGTGTTTCTCTGTGATGAGTATGCTCAACAAGCGGCACCTTTCAAAGCATTACTCAGTCAACTAGGTAGTTTTGATGAAACAAGGACTTCAACAGCAACAAATGAAAGTAATGTACTTCCAAAATTCATGAAGAAAATAGTGAGGAATTTACAGACTCGAAATGATAAGTGTTTACAGCACCGGGGAAGATGGTACAATATAGGTGACCTACTGCACGTCTAACTTCCTCTCTGCTAACACAAAATTGTAGGTTTACTTCCCGGATTTGGTATATATGGCTGTGTTTTCCACAGATACTGAGATATGTACCTGCTGATCCAATACAGCAAACATAAAAGAAGAGGCTTTCCCTTCCTTTCAAATAATTATTCCTGAGTTTAAAACCTCAGGCTTTTAACGTAAAACCTAACAACTAAGTGCCTCCGTGGTTGGAATGGAAATGAATGTGCTCCCTCTCAAGAGTTTAACTCAAGAACAGCCATAAGTTCATGGCGTTTTATTTTTTTCGACAAATTCTCAAAACGTGCTAAGGAAAAAAAAAAGCTTAGAACAGAAATACAGCGTTCTCCTGTGCCTTGTAAAAAGAAAGAAAAAAAACAACCAAAAACTATGTTATACTTCATGCATCTACTCCGTAACATTTTGCTTCCAACCTCCATTACTTTGAACACGTGAAAAGAAAGCTGACCGACATTTCAATGGTTTTCCCACAAAGTTATCCTTCGCCTCCTTTAAAAATGGGAATCATTCTTTCCTGATATAAAGTTCCAGTTTATTTTACAAATAACTATACTGGCTGTGAATTAGAAGATGAAACTGTATACATTATTACCTGAGTTCATTGATTCACAGACAATTTAGCACAGATTAAATAATGTTTTCCCAATGTTGTTCTTCTATGAGCTTAAAAAAAGAATCATTCTTTTAGGTAACTTTTGTAAATAATTAAAAAAACTATAATATATTATTCTATTGTTAATATTTTCAATGCTTGAAGCTTTAACTATAAAAATCCATGTCCTTCTTTGCTGAAAACTTGTTTAGACAAATTCGAGTCCCAGAAACATTTTTAGCTTTCAAATTTTAAGATGTCATCGAAAAACATTGCCTATACTTTGCCATTCATTTGAAGATTCTTGTACCACTTCTTCTAAATTCAGAGCACGACTAATATCTTCCCCTTCTTGTTCTTGATGACTAGCGGGCTCTTGTACTGGACCTACCAAAGTACAAGAGAAAAAGACAAATGAGGTTTGATGTACAATAAAAATAAAAATAAAAATACAGCACTTGGGAATACCGGAATCATGCTGGTAAAGGTATTACACAACTACTTCAGATTCTGTAAATTCATTAGATGCCCTTTGAAAAATTAAAAATACATCTAATATAATCAACTCTTATCCTGTCATAGCTTTTGACCTTTGTATTTCTGTACGACAGAGCTCCCTATGGAAAAAAGGAACCAGATGCAGTAACCAACCTCTGTTTCAACCGGCTTTTTTGGGCTGTGTGTTCCTCTGCTAGCTCTCCAACTCCGCCCTTGGGCCACTAGTGCCTCAGTGACTTCAGGGACGTGTTTTGTGCTTTCCTAGGCAAGCACGTGGCTTTCCGCACCCACCGTCGCTATCCTCAATGCTACGTACCAGTGTAACCATGAGCCCGTTTCATATGCAGCTTCATGTTGCTTTTCTGCGTAAATCCCATTGCACAGTAATCGCACTTGTAAGGCCTCTCTCCTGTGTGCTTTTTCATATGGACTTGAAGAGCACTCTTCTGGTTAAAAGCCTTTTCACACAGCGTACACTGAAACGGCCGTTCCCCTTAGAAAAGAGAAAAATGTATTCAATAATTTCTCATTTCAACATAAAAATACAGCTCAGAATTCGGTAAAAATTACCCAGATGACCTAGAAATTAAGTAGACATGATCTTTTTCCTCAAGACTCTCTCAAAACAGTGCTGTGGCTCCACATCATCAGCAAAACATTCCAAATTAAGTATCACCACATTTACCTAAGTCCTAAACCACTGATGTGATCTTTCTGATCCGATTTATTATCTGAGTACATTTAACAGAGGTGTAAAAAAATCATTTATTAGTTTGACTTTTCTGTGCTCAAGGGGACCATCAACTTTTAACATCCTTTACAAATAATGTAGATAATGCAATTTTCAAGAATTAGCAAAGCTGATGTAAGGAAATAGAAAGCCGAGTGTGTTAAAACTCAATAATGGATAATTCTGGTAGTTCTACAGGGGACCTGTGGCCTCCTGTGCCAATAGCTACTAGGGATTCCCACATCTTACCAAAGCAGGCATATTCTTCCAAATCTGCCAGAATACTGATTTCTAAACATAAGCCCGAGGGCATATTCATTACAAAAATATTTAATATACTAGCTTTGGAAAACCAGACCTTTGCTTCAACACTCCACTCCGCAAACTCTGATGTCAAAACAAGACACATGGCGCTATGTCATTAAGGACTTCTAAAAGCACTTTCTGCACTTACAAATACACTTTGTTATTAGTTAGCACAATAATGCAGGACGAGGAGTGTAAATACTCTTCCCACAGTTTTCTTTTAAAAAAAAAAACCACAACCAAACAGTTTCCCTCGTCCTTCAGCACCTGTTTGTTTGTGTCCCCACAGGCATTGTAGCTTCTGTGCTAAATCCAGCTTGCCAGACAATCAAAGGTCCCTTCAAGCACAAAAATGTTCTTTCTACTTTTGTTAACACCGATTTCACTAGTGTGAAGTGAAATCTAGGTTTCCTCAGATACTTCTGACTCCAGGCTTTCTGTTCCGTTAAGATGAACAGCCTTTCTGGTGTTGTGTAATGGACTGCCACACGGCTTTCTGGTAGAAACGGAAGCATCTGCTTCCCTCTCGTTTCGGCAACATCCCTCCAAACTGCTTTTCACTGATAAATCTGAATGTACAAGACATGTAGAGCTGTTCAGAGAAATGAAGTATTTTCCTTCTGGCCACTGATTGTGTAGGTATTGACCATTAGAAATCATTAAAAATGTTTTATGAAATATTACTATTTATTATTAAAGATTTAAGCAAGATAGTAACTACTAACACTTCCTCATAGACAAGGATCATACCTTTAGGAAAGCAAATCAGTTTAGTTTTTCCTATCATAGTTTATGTAAGAGCACCCACCTACAAACTTCCTGGCAGCACATTTTCACTCTTTGGCCCTAAAGGATTTTAAAGAGAACATTCTCTTCTGAAAGGATGACAATCACATGGACTGACCTGCTGTTTCAACAATGTCAGACAACGGTAATTTAAGAATTTAGCAAGGATTGTTACAGCTTGTGGGCATTCCTAGCACATGAGCACCCAAGTACAAGAAACCCAAAAATATCTGAGGATTTACTGAGTAAATTACAAGTCATGCCAAAACAGAAAGAGTTTTTCCAGTGATGATGGAGAGTTATGAGAAACAGATGCATAAAGGGACCCTGCTCTGGTCCCAGCCTTCCTGAAGTGCCCTCTGTCTATTATGACAGGCAGCATGAATCAAAGGGAAAAGGGAAAATGACCCTTTTTTCCTGCTTTCAAATTATTTTGTGAAACTCTTAACTAGAACATTTTTCAAGGCAATGCATTAATCAAGTCAGTTATGCAAAGAGCAAAATGTTGGGGAATTCTCAACACTTTTAATCTCCTTGGACAGTAACTCCCGCTTCTCTTTTCCTGCCCCCCAATATAACCAGAAGGTTCCTCTCTAGCACAGCAGCCACAAAGCAGTACTGTTCCCCTTTTTTCAGTTTCACTCTCAGGAAGAGCAGTCACCATTTCTCCTGGACTGGGGGGTGGAAGGAAGAGAAGCATAATCAGTCAACCCCGTAGATGAGAATACAGAGGGTCAGCGGAGACCCCTAATACATAAAACCAGCTCCAGTAGATCAGATCACAGTTTACTCTCATACTCAGCTGAGAAACCGCCTTCAACCAGTCGACATGAACACCCCTCATAAAACATGCTTATCCACACCCATAGTACAGTAATTGCAACTGGTAGCAACTGATCAGCGATGAATGCTGCCAGCTGACAAATGGCTGCAAATACCCAGTCCCCTTATCAGGAGTTATTGCTTATCTACCAGAAGTTTGGCTTCTGGTAGAAAAAGTGGATGACCCAGCTCACCAATATTAAAATCTATCCTGTCACACTTGCACCATAAACTTCCCCTCCTGTTACAATACTCTCCAGTTGCCATAACCAGTATGTTCCAGCCACACTGCTGCAATTCACAACTTGATACATAAGGATCTTCACTTTCCCACCTCAATGATTACCCACATTCTTCATCTGCTTCTTATGCTCAGGATCTCCTCTATCTATCCATGCCTTCCCATGGCAACATCTCTAAACTTGCTCTTAGGATTCCCAAATCTCTGAACTTCCTTAGCAAGAGGATTCAAACCATAAATTCACCAAGTTCATGAATCCTCTCCATCCAACCTCCTATCCTTTCCTGCTATAGAGTTCTCAGGAACTGAATTAAATGTGAAAAAAAGTCAGGGCCAGGACTGGGGACCTCTCTGGCTGTAGGCTGCCTAGCAAACCCTGACACCTCACAGCTCAAACACTCATGTGTAAATGGGGTGCAACAGCACTTGCAATTACTACTCCCCTTTGACACTATACGAACCATGTGCTGAATCAGGCAACCGAAATGAACCAAATTCATTTTACCACAACAAATAAAAAAATGCCACAGTATGCTGCACGTTGTGTAGGCCTGATCTAATTCATCCACAAACATTTGGAATCACTGAATAATTATTTGCCAATTCTTCTTTTTTCCCTTGGTAAAACCAGTATCAGATTACATTAATTTCTTTGCAAGCCTCACCATACACTGCAGAAGCCAGAAAGAAAGCACAGGTAGACAAGTATGACCTTGTCTTGACTAGTTATGTCTCATTAACTGCTTACATGCAATGGTGAGTAATTTAACCCTAATGGAAGACAGAGTCGTTCATCATCTAACAAAGGCTCTTCTATACCTCCACTGCTATAAGGGGAATTAAACCAGTTTCCTAGACTGCGGTAATCTTAACATGTTTTCAGCTTCACCTATTTTATTTTTTTTTTTTTACATCTGTGTGTCTTCCCTGGAAACCCTTTTATCATTTATTATTCACAGCACCACAGCACACAGCCTTAGACACAGACAAACTCCACCATATGATGTACTTCATAAAAAGAGCAAAGAGACAGATCCTACCTTTAAGAACTTGCCATAAACATAACACAAGAGAAAAGAAATTAACAGATAGAAAAGTATATAAGGACATACTAAGATAATGTAAATTCTCAATGCTGGCCATGGGCCAAGACATCAGCAGCCTATCAGATGTCATACAGACACATAAAAAGAATTCAAAGATACTACTGAATACCTAAATCCCTTCCAAACACTTGAAGAGCACGGTAAAATATGTGTGTGTGTTTATATGAGATTGTGTTTGTCAAAGCCAGGGAACAGAAGGCTTTGATGCATGAAATGGGAGCATGCATGAGACACCTGGATATACAGGCAAGTCTGTACTTCAGAGGTGCAATACTCAAATCTGCAAGACTGAACCTGAGGGTGCAAAGCGAAGATCCATTCAAAGATGAAACTCAAATTATACGTTGCAAGACTGGCAAGTGATACTAACCAAGGAAAAATGACAGGGTTAACAAGGTAACTTAAAGGGAGAGATTAGGAACTTTACTTTAAATGCACGAAGAGCAGCCAAAAGCTAACTACCAGAAGTTAATTCTGGGGAAAGAGAAAGCTCTGGCTGAGCCACTAAAAGGAAGAGAGTTATCCCTTTTTGGGAGTCATCTGATGCGGCAGTGCATTCAGTCAAACTCCTTGGTCCCCTCCAGTTTAGTAGCAATAGAAGGAAATTTCCCCTTGCCTTTTTAACTCTAGCAGCCATGGCAGCCCTTTTTTGGTAGCTGTGGTACGGAAAAGAGAGAAGTTGTTTTGGGGAACTGACTCCTTAATTTAGAATTCATGTTCTTACCATCCAGAAGATGAAGAGGAAAGCAGTCAGCTGTCCTATGTACAGCTTTTAACTTGTTGTGGGAGAGAAGCTGCAACCTGAAAAGCACTTTTATCACAAAATAAATCTCTGCTCCCTAGAAGTCAGTACAGTCTTTTTATAGAGCAACAGTTGAAGAAAATAATTAAGAAAAGAACAAAACAAATTAAAAGCACTGGCATTAGAAACAGATGAACTGAGTAGCAGTTCAATGACAATGAAGCACTGCATTAAGCAGTCAGTATCAGCAGTCAAGTCTGTCCCTTATTTAACCTCATCGAGCACACCCACTCATTTGCATATTCTCCTATATGCTTGAAGATCATACTGAGCATCTGTACACTGCTTTAAATAATGCTTGAAAATATGCTTTTATGAACCTGTTTAAAAGACTGACAAACTTTTAGATACAAGCTCATGCATTCACATTACTGTCGCAGTACAGCCAGTCCCAAAATACGGAGCAGCTTAGTCATACCACTAAACATGATGTTCTGGCTTCAAACAAAACATCACAGTTCATGAGCTTTCAAGTCTGCCCTTTCACATTTTAATTCCTAAACTCTCTGGGTTAGAAATGCACCTGGTTTTTTTTAAGCTTAAATTGAATATTTAACTGCAGTTACCTGAAACCATGAGCAGGGACTCCAAATATAACACCCATATATCCACGAGAAAACCTGGTGAGATAAAAACCATTATGCGGCTATGTCTTTCCAGCTGACTGGGCTTAGCGAAAGCTTTTTCACAAGTGTCACACTTAAACACTCTAGGCTTCTGGGAACTCAGTGAAGGTCCGGCTTGATGGGTTTGCATGTGCTCCTAAGCCAGCACAGAAAACAAAAAATACATTTCAGAACATTCAAAAACCTTCAGAATTTAATGTAGAAATACATTCACACTTTGAAGGCAAAAGCAGTGGGTCTTACTCGTCAGCAGACAAACTGGAAGAAGACAGAAGCCTGCACTGTTTTCTTCTTTTAAATGATTGTTCTGTATATCAACTCTTTCTAAAGGTAATGCATCAATAACGTCACACTTCTGAAATCCTCTGTCAATAACTCTATACATTGTTTTTTTTATGTGTATGTTAGTCCCTTCACTAATTATCAAATAAAAAAATGAAAACTCAAAATAAAAAAAACCCTAACACTAAGCTGTTGAAACGCCTTGTTCACTTACAAACCTGGATTTTGGACAACTGCACACTAAGTCAGTACTGGATTTTTTTCCCTCCCCTCTACAGGATCCATCTCCCTGCCCTGATACATAGGTATTCCCATTCGGCACCTGAGTATCATTGGGAAACTGTACAGGCCTCGAAGAGGGGACATCGCGACACACACACCCCTGCAGCTACACTCTGTCAATGTGCAAACAGAACCACTTCACGATGAACTCTTAAATTCATTTTAAAAAATCACTAAGGCCCTTACAGGGAAGAACAGGGAATGAGCGAATGAAACGTTTTATCTCTATGAAGAAGCATTAGTAACAGTTCTAACTTCACTGTTTTTAATTCAGTGATGTTGGGCCTAGAAGTTTGGCAAATCTAAAGGAGTATCTCATGTTATCTATTAACTTTTTGATTTTAATCTCTTTATTAATACCAAGATACAATTCAGATTATTTAAAAAAAAAAAAAGAGGCAAACACAAACACACCTAATTACAAAAACTATTCAAGAACTGTATGTGAAACAGTACTGTACTTGTCCACTTGCTAAAATGTGTGTGGATGTTCTTTCCTAGTCTATTCACTGCAGACTAAAGACTCTTAATTAGCCTTTACTACACCTAAACAATAAGCCTTCTTGATGTCTATGACGTCCCATTCCTCACTCCATGAACTGAAGCAAATTATGTCTGCAGAATTTGTTTTCACTGGAAAATCAGTGAGACAGTTACAGGGAAGAATATTATAATCATAGTAATTATAATAATATAGTATTATAGGGAAATAATAAAAGGTCTTCTCAGAAAATCACAGGAGACTCGTAAACCACAGCTGAGTAGGAGATGAAGAAAATACTTTGCTTTTATCTTGTTCATTACCTTGCTGTGACCTACTCCGGAAAAAGTTACCTGAAACTGGCTGCCTCTTTCTGTCCACCATCAAAAAAAAAAACCCCAATCCAAGACAACAACAAAACCCACAAAACTCCAGCAACCCGCCCACCCTGACCCATTTTCTGCTTGAAAGCAAATAGGACAGCATCCAGACAGCTGCTATGCAGCTTTCTCCATCATCTTTCTACGAAGAAACAGGATGGGATACAATTCTGTTCCACTGATCTGCCAATCCCTTACGCTTTCTCTGCCTACTACGCGCTTTTGAAAATCGTGCTAGCACTTTTCTAGACAGACTCAATATTTCATTGTTCAGATGACATTTGACAAGTTTATTTGTGCAATCCTTATATTTTTCAGATAGGAAGTATCTTGGGGTCCCAAGCGAGCATTATCTAATTAGAAAATAAGAAGAGGAAACCTTTGCAAGGGCCCTTTACACCTCCCTCCCCCAGGCACCTCTTCTGCCCCACCGATCTTGAAACATGAATCAATACTGCCTCTGAAAGTATGGCAATGCAAAGTTGGTTTCATTCCACTGTTTTAGTAAGATTGCAACCTCATTTTATTTTCATCTTTGAATTATGTCTGTGCTGTATTTATTATTTATGGTCACCTTGCATGTATTTCCACTATCTCAGGACATGGAATTGGATAGTTCGGTCACTGCAAATGCCTTAAGACTCTGCTGCCTGAAGCTGTAAAATCAGGGAAGTTGACAACGTCAGAATGGGAACCAAAGATACTGACACCAGGGGTGAGATGGGTGGTGTGGGTGTTCGTACACAATGTCTAAAGAAGCTTCTCTTGTGGATAATCATGAAATTGCTGGTACTGATGGCCTTAGAAAAAACACACAGTTAAGTACTGCCATCTGAACACTGCTACCCTTACCTCCCACCATGTTTTTCTGGAAAGCCTGAAGTTTGGCAGTGCTCTTAGTATTTTTGGTGATCTCCAGAATACCATCAGTACAAAACGAAGGCCTTAAGTAAGCGATCACTGAACCCTTCCCAAAACACTAAGCCAAAAGCTGGGCTTTGGTTTATCTTTAATTTACTGATAAGGCTGCTCCCAGCTGATGCTCTAGAACAGCTTAATAAAGAAGAGAGTTTGATGAAGATAAAGAATTTGTTTTCAGACACGATGGCCAAGCAGTAAATGAAACTGTCTTTTTGTTTGAAACATCCTCTCCTCCTCCTCCTCACCAAAGGTGAAAAACGATGATTTGGAGATTCATTTTGACTTTCATACTCAGAAATCCTGGATTTGGATTGTACAGGATACAGAGAAAACCTTCCTGAAATACGATTTATCAGCCTTCATAGCCACTAATTGGACTGATAAAGGTAAAACTGTCTTTGGTCGAAGAAAGTAACGGTGCTTCCATTCTATCAGCTGCACCAAACTGCTGACACATTGTTGATGAAATGCTCCAAAACCACAGCTGGTGTCTGCTGGTTTGTCTATGTCTGTATGTGCATGTGGGAAAAGCAACTGCTGCAAATTCCTCATTATCTGGTGAGGTTCATGCGCATGTGGGAAAAGCAACTGCTGAAAATTCCTCATTATCTGGTGAGGTTCACTCTCCTATTTTTACATATACGTGCAACGTTATCCTCCTTTCTTCGGAACTAACAAAATGTGATCTTTCGCAAAAGCTCTCATCTTTGGATCTGAAGGTTGAAAATGGCCATGTCACTGAGTAGGAAGGGGTTCCTGTTACAAAGCTGTGGTTTAAGGAAGCATCCCAAATAAAGCAAATAAGGCTTTCACACCAGAAAGCACCCATTCAAGAAGTCAACTTTCAATAATGACTGGTTTTGTATCGTCACCCTAGCCTCATCAAACAAGCAGGCTTTTGTTCACATTGTTCTTGATCCGAGTTGAACTGCAGATTTTTTTCAAATTCTTCTTTGTAAAAGAAGTTCATAGAATCATAGAAACATTAAGGTTGGAAAAGTCCTTGAAGATTATCGAGTCTGACCATTAACCCAGCACTGCCCAGTCCACCACTAAACCGTGTCCCTAAGCACCACATCCACACTTCTCTTAAATACCTCCAGGGATGGTGACTCAACCACCTCCCTGGGCAGCCCGTTCCAATGCCTGACCACCCTGTCAGTGAAGAAATTTTCCTAATATCCAACTTAAACATCTTCTGGTGCAACTTGAGGCCATTTCCTCTCATCCTATCACTTGTCACTTGGGAGAAGAGACCAACCCCCACCTGGCTACAGCCTCCTTTCTGGCAGCTGTAGAGGAGGTCGCCCCTGAGCCTCCTCTTCTCCAGGCTGAACACCCCCAGTTCCCTCAGCTGCTCCTCACAGGACTTGTGCTCCAGACTCTTCCCCAGCTCCATTGCCCTTCCCTGGACACGCTCCAGCACCTCAGTGTCTTTCCTGTAGTGAAGGGCCCAAAACTGAACACAGGATTCGAGGTGTAGCCTCACCAGTGTCCAGTACAGGGGGATGATCTAGTCCTGCTGCCAGAACTAGGACTGCCCTAGTCCTGCTGGCCACACTGTTCCTGATACAGGCCAGGATGCTGTTGGCCTTCTTGGCCACCTGGGCACACTGTCATGTACAGTCGGCTGTTGACCAGCACCCCCAGGTCCTTTTCTGCCGGGCAGCTTTCCAGCCACTCGTCCCCAAGCCTGTAGCTTTGCGGGAGGTTGTTGTGACCCAAGTGCAGGACCCAGCACTTGGCCTTGTTGAACCTCATACAACTGGCCTCGGCCCATCGATCCAGCCTGTCCAGATCCCTTTGTAGAGCTTTCCCTCCCTCAGGCAGATCAACACCAACTTGGTGTCAGCAAGCTTACTGAGGTTGCACTCAATCCCTTCATCCAGGTAAAGATATTAAAGAGAATTGGCCCCAAAACCTCCTGGACTGTTTCCTCTCTGCTGTATTGTATTTCCAGCAGACATCTGGGAAGTTGAAGTCAATAACATAAGGATATTTTAATACAAATGCTTCCTCTACAGATGTTGCTTGCACTCATGAGACAGAGCATCTAAAAATCGAATGATAGAGTGCATAGCTTCCAATGACTGCAAAAGCTTATTTGGCAAATCAGGATTAGCAGCAATGACATAAATAAGCAAATAAAGTAACCAAAATCTTTTTCTAGCGCTATTATTTGCATGACAGGCATTCAAATTTTTCATTACGTAGGCGATATATGCAATAAAGTCCTTTATGTGGTCCAGGAAACAGTTCTCTACTGGTGTATACCTTATCACTTTGACCCCCCTCTCTCAGATGCACACCTCCCACACTGTGAAAGGAAAGGGAAAGGTAAAGGGATAATAGGTACCTTTCATTTAATATTGCAAAATGTCCGAAACAAAATAATGAGTTAACAGAACAATCAACTGTTATTACCAAATACCTTGAGATGTGTTGCTCGCTTAAAGGCTTTACTGCACACATGGCAAACATGTATTCTTTCCTTGCCATGAACCTCTTTGCTATGGTGCAACAACATGGTGGCCGAAGAAAAGGTTTGACTACACTCAAAACACTGGTGCACGCGACTTTCTTTCTCTGCTTGACTGCTTTTCGTCACATTAGGAGAAACCTCCGTCACCTGTAACGATTTATATAAACACCATCAAGTAATTTCATAGGCACATACATCCACAGCAACGCTTTGTTGTTCACAATCTACCTCAGCGTGACTAAACTTTGGAAAGTACGTGCAACCAACTTACGAACACAAAGGAAATAAATTGTATATAAATATGAACTTGTATTCCATTGCTCTTAAGAATGACGCATATATGTATTTTAAGAAAACAGATTAAAATACCTATGATCAAGTTCATTTACACATCATAAATAGAATGTGTTTGTATCAGTATTTTCCTATATTGTTTTATATTCCTGAGCATCCCAGATGATTCTCACATTTCTCACTGAACGAACTCAAAGTCAAGAATATTTCAGACAGAAAGTATCTCTGATTTTACAGAGGAGAGGAATATTGTCTATTTGTTTGATGTCTTCACTGGGACCTCTATTTTCATAAGGCAGTGAAGTTCTGAGCTACCAACACAACGTTCCAGAAGTACTGAAACACAATGGAAAGTTGACAGAATTCGTATGGGGTTGTGTGGTATTTTTGTTTGGTTTTATTCAATGAGGGGTGTTTGGAAAAATTTCATGCTCTTCAAATAAAATAACACTAGATTACTTCAACTGTATTGACACAAAAGAATCTTAAATATATTTAACTCATAGAAAGAAACAAAGATGAAGGAAAGATAAAGGAAGTAGTACTCTAAATGAAATATTCAGGATTAGCTAAACCCGAAAAGATACAGAACATAGAGTATTATCCATACAAGAAAATAAAGATGCAATAGGAAACATATTGAAAGAAATTACATAAAAATCCTGTGTGAACACATTGGTTTGTGTTTGTTTCCAGCTAGTTGGAACCTCTCAGGAAAAGGTGAAAGGCTGAAAAGTCAATCAACCACTGTTAATCACTGTTAAAAGTCAATCACCACTGTTAAGAACAACATTACAGGGAATGACGGAGAACTAGTTTATGTTAGTTTTATGTTCTGACTTATTACAGTAGTGCTACTCAGACAGTCGCACAAGTGACATTATAATAAGCCATATGAAATGCCAACCCTGATTTCTGAAAGCATATATACCAAAAGACACAAAATCTAGTTTGAAATTCTGAGAAGTGATAAAATATGTTCATGTTAAGTTTTAAAACATTCACCTTCAGAGAGTATTTAAACACTTTGTTAAGAACTCACATTCATAACCATATGCAAATGTTAAAATCATATGCACACGATGTTAATGGAAACACAGAATAGTTCAAGTTGGAAGGGATGGCCTGAGGTCATCTAGTCCAGTGTCCCTAGAGCATACTCATGGCCATGCTTGAACACATTTTGAGTATCACCAAGGATGGAGAATCTACAGCCTCTCTGGACAACCTCTTCCAAGATTCAACCACCCTCGCAGTGAAACAGGATTTCTTTGCTCAGATTCAATGATTTTAATTTGTGCCCATTGCCTCTTGTTCTTTCATAGAATCATAGAGTGGTTTAAGTGGGAAGGGACCTTAAAGACCATCTAGTTCCAACCCCCCTGCCATGGGCAGGGACACCTGCCACTAGACCAGGTTGTTCAAAGCCCCATCCAGCCTGGCCTTGAACACTTCCAGGGATGGGGCATCCACAGCTTCTCTGGGCAACCTGTTCCAGTGCCTCACCACCCTCTCCAGGAAGAACTTCTTCCTGATGTCCAATCTAAGTCTACCCTCTTTCAGCTTAAACCCGTTGCCCTTTGTCCTGTCACTACAGGCCCTTGTAAAAAGTCCCCGTGCCCTCTCCCAGCTTCCTTGTAGCCCCTTCAGGTACTGGAAGGTGCTATAAGGTCTCCCTGGCGCCTCCTTTCCTCCAGGCTGAACAAGCCCAACTCTCTCAGCCTGTCCCCATAGGAGGGGCATTCCAGCTCTCTTATCTTCATGGTCTACTCTGGACTCACTCCAACCAGCTGATATCTGTGCCTGAAGAAGCCCATGATTCTGTGGAAAGCCTATGCTGGAGCAGGCTACTCCTGAAGGACTGCACCCAACAAACAGCTCCCTGCCAGATCAGTTAGTAAAGAACTGCAGCCTGTGGAAAGGACTCATATTGCAGAAGTTCATGGAGGACTGTCTCCCATGGGAGGCACCCCACACTGAAGCAGGGGTAGAGTGTGAGGAGTTCTCTCCCCCTGGGGAGGAAGGAGTGGCAGAGACGTGTGGTGAGCTGACTGGGAAATCCCTATCCCCACCCCCTGTACTGCTGTTGGGGGAAGAAAGTAGATCGGGAAGAAGGGGAGGTGGGAGGAAAGTTTTTTAGATTTGTTTTGTCTCTACTGGACTCTACTGTCTCTGCTTACCATACAATCTACTCTGATTTGACTGGTAAGTGATTAAATTGATTTTTCTTCCCCAAGTCGAGCCTGTTTTACCTGTGACCATAACTGGTGAGTGATCCCTCCCTGTCCTTGTCTCAATCCACAAGTCTTTCCCTGTATTTTCTCCTCCACATCCCAACGCAGGGAGGAGTGAACAAATGGCCATGTGGTATTTTGTTGCCAGCTGGGCCTAAACCACGACACATATTCATTGCTCCACCCTTTCCCACAGATTTTGGTGATCTGGGATTTCAGAAGATAAATCTTACCATTAGAAATGAAGCATAAAAAGACATTCAGTACATCAGCCTTTTTCAAACCTTCTGTCACCAGGTCCTCTGCTCCAGTCAGTAGCAGGACAACTCATCTTCCTTTTGCTGCTGACACACCTGTAAAAGCCCGTCTTGTTACATTTTATGACCCTTTCAGAGTCAACTCCAGGTGGGCTTAGGTGGATTTCCTAAACTCATCCCTGTCTCCTTGAGTGGTTTCTCTGTACTCCTTCAAGGTCACCTGATCTTGCTTCCACTTGTATATGCTTCTTTTTTAAAACCAGGTTTGTCAGGAGCTCCTTTTCTCCTCCATGCTTGCCTCCTGTTGCCTTTGACTTCCTACAAATTAGGACTGGCGATTCTTGGGCTTGGAGGAGAACATTTAAAATCAACCATCTCTCCTGATCCTCCTTTTCTCCAGGTCTGCTTACCATGCAATTATTCCAGGCAGATCCCTGAACAGACCAAAGTCTGCTCTCCTGCTGCCCAGAATTGTGATCCTGCTACTTGTCTTATTTTCTTCTCTCAGGATCCAGAGCTCCACCATCTCATGGTCACTGTAACAAAGGATGTCCCTGACCTTCACATCCCAAATCAGTTCTTCCTTGTTTGCAATTATCAGGCCCATGAGGCATGAGAACATGCACACCATGAGAACAACACCTCCACTTGCTGGCTTCTCAGTCATCTGTATCAGGAAATAGTCATCAATGCACTCCAGAAATTTCCTAGATTCCTTGTGCCCTGCCTGTTGCCCTTCCAGCAGACCTTAGGCAGGTTGAAGTAACCCATGTGGACCAGGGACTGCAAATCAGAGATTTGTTTATGTTGGAAATGACCTCTTGAGATCATCTAGTCCAACTCCTCTACTCCAGAAGGGTCAGCTAGGACAGGCTGCCCAAGATCGAGATGAAAGCCTCATCTTCTATTTCTTCCTGACCAGGCGGCCTGCAGCAGATGGGTAGTATTCACAGCAGGGTCACCCACGTTGGTCTGCTTGCCAATCCTTACCCACAAGGTCCCAGTTGGCTCATCGTTCAGGCAGAGCTCCATGCATTCCT